GTTGCATGTACATAATACCCTAAAACGACATATGTTTTTATTGGAAATAATTGTACACGGTTTTAAACATTTTTGTGAACACACTTACCAGACGGTTTTGACGTGTTTTTATTTCTAATATTACTGCTAAAAGGTCTAATAAATGCATGGATTTTAGTTCCAGAAGAATTGAAATCATCAAAGGCAAATATTTTCTATATAATTGCTGCATTTTATAAATAGCAAACTCGATAGTCTTCTTGTGCATCAAAGCAACTGTCAAAAATTTCCAGCAGTAAAAAGTTACGAATTGGCACAGCAGAAATGTAAAATTTTCTACCATAGAACTTTTCTATCAATTGGCACAGGCCCACAGTAATAAACCTTTTCGCAGTTTTTCACCAATTGTTCCCGGAGGAGTACGTTTGGGATGTGTGCAGTGTTTTCGTTTTTCGCGTACGGCAACACTTACTGTGGGGAATTTCGCTTCATGATTAGAAAACGGTCTTTTCGAGGATAATATATATATAATGATGTGTTATTTATGAACAAAATGTAGGTTAAATATAATATCAATGCTTAATTTAGAATAATATCAATAGCTAAGTACATAGTTAACGCTTGTGTTGCCATAAACTTGAAAACTCAAATCGTAATTATAGCACTGAATGGAGTTTTCTTAAATGTATATATCTTTATGAAAAACGTGAATTTTGTGAATTCGTCAAGTAAAATTCAAAATTTCCGAATATATTTAAGTCTTTGTTCCAAAAAAAGACAAGGCTTGTATAGTTATAGAGACTCCAATACACTGATCCAATATACTGAGTCTACAAGCGTTCCGCCGATGACTAAAGACTGGTTTTCACTATGTCATATTTTGACAACAAAATTTGGCAACTTTATCTTCTTTATCCACACCTTTGCCGATGAAAGTATGGGCCAAAAACTGCCAGATAGCCGATTTCGAAGCGCATGTACACGACTAAAGACCTATCCTGGTCCAAATCCATCAATAAACCGCTTTTTGGTCTCACTTGACAATGTGTTTTCACACTTATTTGACGACAAATGCCACTGAGTTTGACATAGTGAAAGCCAGTCTTTACTTAAGTGCATATACCGAAGCGCTAAAGAGCCCAAATACACCGCAAAAGCTGCTGTTCAAACCTCCTTTTTTCATTTCCACTATATATGGATAAAAGATCTGTCAATAAATATTGAACGTGTGCCATCTTTCGTGATAACAATTCACAATTCGAAAAAATTAGAAGTGGTATCAACATACAAATAATAAAACGTATAGATGATTTTTAATAAAATAACATTAAGATACGATAAATATTGAACATTTAGTATTCCCGCGCGATTCATCACTATTTTGAAATCCATCAATATGTAATCCGATTCAAATATCACAATAAATATTGAACGTGTAACAGTCGCCCCACACTGTAATAAATTGACGAGTAGACTGCCCAGCGATAATTTTCTTCGATATTTGGTTAGTGATATTTGTTGAGCGCTGATCAATGCAATTGTTTCTAGTAGTGTTGTCACCGCTACACACAATCACAGTACAATTTATCAAATTAATCCAACTTTTTTACAGGTCTATTC